CGTCTTGATCAGTGTCACCCTGCCTCTCCCAACCCAGTCATTTTCTCATTTCCTTGTTTCATTTTCACATATGTACATCAAATATTATGACTGTATTACCTTGTCTTTTAAAATAAGACTATTTTATCAACTGGATTCAACCCAGTAGTCAGGAAACTGGACTGCTGTTGTTATTATGATGATTATAGAGATGTTCTGAGGAGAGTGAGGTTTATCAACTTCATAGTCAGCAATGCTTAGTCTGTTAGATATTATTCAATCACCCTTGGATAAGTGTGCTTCAAAATAAACCATATAAAATACTTCTTCAACCCCAGCAATGATATTGTATAACTCATTTCAATATTCTGTTCCAATATAAAAATAATTACTGTTTTTTGATATCACTATTATGGTTATTTCTTATTAAAATTAAAATAAATGTACCCACCCTCTGTCCCTCCTGAAGATTTATATGTGAATATATCATACTAAATAAAAGAAGACAGAATCATAGAAATTAAAAATCAATATTAAAAAGATTATTTTTGATATTATTTATGAAATAATATTTTGTGGAGTAACTTCAGTCCATATGATGTACCTAAGATTATTTCATTTGGCATGTGGAAAATTGTTAAGCATTCAATACCCACACTAGAATGTGTTCTGTGTAGAGAGAATAGATATGGGAGCCAGTAGTAATTGACACTAAATGCCATCCACCTAACTTTACTTTTAATTATTTGTCTAAGCTTTACTATGGTGTCGAGTTTGGATTGTAATCCTGCCATGATGATGAGAAAGCTAATATTAATTCAGAGAAGTCTGGATTCATATGCAGTATTTTGTTGTTGTTGTTGATCATACTGGAGTTTGACCTCTGGGCTTCAGATTCACTCAGCTTGCTTGATTGGTTGGTGCTCTACCACTTGAGCCATGTCTGTAGTTCCAGATTTTTTAAATTGGAGATTAGAGTCCCACAGATGCATTTGCTCTGACTGGCTTTGAACCACTATCCTCAGATCTCAGCCTCCTCAACTCCCTGAGTAGCTAGGATTATAGATTCAAACCACCAGTGCCTGCTTCAATATCACATTCTCTCTTGTCCATCTGTCTGCCTACCTACCTACTATCTAGAACATTTTCTCTATTTCTTCACTATTTGATGGACACCTAGGCCCATTCTATAAGTTGACTACTGTGAATAGTGTTACAAAAAACATGGGTGTGTATGTGTCTGTGTGTATGTTGATGTATGTTCCTTCAGAGATATGTCCAGCAGTATGCTGGGAATTCAAACTTCTAAGATCCTTTCTTTCTAGTCTTAAAATCTTACATAGCTATGAGTTGATGACTTCCTTAGATTGTTAACTTATATTCATTTCTACTTTCAAAGGGAGTGGTTAGGAAGATAATATATGTAAAGAAGCTCAAATGATGTTTGGCCAATAACTAGTGATTGTTGATTTAATAATTTATGTATTGTCACATTGTTCCAGTGGTCTGCTCCTGTAGTTTTTCATTATCGTGATCATTGTTGTTTCTAGTTGATACTGTTAGAAGGCAGACAGATCATATACTGAGTTGTAGCAGAGCAAGAGCAGATTGTATTCTTTTAATATTTCTGTAATTGCCCCCAATATCATATAAAGGAAAAAGAAGAAAAAAGAAAGACAACAGAAAAAAATAAAAAAATCACAAATTTTCAATGGTATCCAACTTAGAAACACTAGACTTTTTTTCTTTCTTTAATTATTATTGTGAAAATACCATACAGAGGGGTTACAATGACATGGGCAAGATAGTGAATACATTTCTTATCAAGCATTGTTGCCTCCTCCTTTGTTTCCCCATACTAGACTTTTTATTAGCTAAAAGGAAATCTATCCAGTTCTCAATAATGGCATGTGCTTTCAGTGTCTTTTAGAAATTCTTTTTACTCTATTTATTTTCCTTCAAATTTGATTCAGTAGGGTTATGAAACAATTATTTTCTCTAGTGTGCTGAGAATATGAGTCCAATATTTATTCTATTATTTTTAGATTTAATCAATTCTTAGATTTTCCTCTTAAATTTTTAAATCATATTGTTTCTATCATTTTCCACCCAAAATTTGGGTGCATATTTTGAGACACTGTGGTACAGATTAGAATTAGTTATCATCTGATACACAGTGTTATTACTGTCTATAAATCCTAGGAGGATTTATAGACAGTATATATATAAGTGATTTATAGACAGTATATATATAAGTGATATTATAAGTGATGAGTTCTTAGCATAGAGCTTTTTTTTTGTTTTAATCTGTCTTGGGACTTGAACTCAGGGCTTGGATGCTGTTCCTGAGTTTTTTTAGCTCAAAGATATTGATCTACCCTTTTGAGCCATAGCACCACTTGTGGTTTTCTGGTGGTTAACTGGAGATTAAGAGTCTCATGGACTTTCCTTCCCTGGGCTGACTTCGAACAGTGATCCTCAGATCGCTTTCTGAGTAGCTAGAATTCCCAGAGTGAGACACCTGTATTGGGCTATTTTGAGATATAAAAGGACTAGTTTTTGGTTTTTTTTTGCAATCGATTATTGTGAACAGAATATATCCACTCACATACTCCTATGCACTGTGATTCTAGCATTGTTTCAAATAAAACAATGTGAGAACAAACAAAACCAAGCAAGAGGAATAAGGAAATGACTGTGTAGTTACTTAACTCATACAAAGACTGCATTTATTCTGCTTCCTGGTAAATAGCAAAAAAAAAAAAAAAGACAGGGATATTAAATGATGTGCCTTAAAAAATTAAAGACTAGTAAAATGAAACAAAGAACCTTTTCAGATTACTAAAACTTTTTTTGTACTGCTGAGATTTGCAGTAGTCCAAAGATTCAATGTCATAGAGACATAGGGTCATAGATGTTGCTCCAATGAACGTCTCTTGTATTGACCTTATGGAAAAAACAAATGTGTACTAATATTTCATAATGGAGTGAAGACATTTCTGTAGGGAGCAGAGATAATGTGTTCCAGATACATTGCTTTTTGGTGACCTAATTGAATATCTATCCTGATATTAATCTGGGGAATAACAAGTCAAAGTCTCTATTACATATAACTTGTCTTAGAAAAGACTCAGGCCATATATTTTCAAGCTTATGTTTAAGGTTGCAATAAAGAAAAATAAAACTAACAGGCTTCTAATGTGCATAGTATAGTGAAGGTTAGAAAAACACCACCATGCATTTCTGCCCAGTCTATTTTCTTTGAAAGCAAAAGAGAAAACAATAAATATTCTGACTATATGGTTCTGGCCACTCTTGCTTAGTAGCACAAAGTTGCCAAAACAGTCAATATAGATGAGTACCCTTTCTAATAACTGAACACAATGAAGGAAAATAACATAGAAGAAAATATCTGTAATCCTAACTTGTCCTTTACACAAACAATGTGGTACTAATACTTAGAACATTCATTTCTTTCTCTCTCTCTGTCTCTCTCTCTCTTTTTTTTGATCAACCTTGGGGCCTGAACTCTGGGCCTGAGCTTTGTCCCTCAGCTCTTCAGCTCAAGGCTAGTGCTCTACCGCTTGAGCCACAGAGCCACTTCCAGCTTTTTCTGATTACATGGTGCTAAGGAATTGAACCCAAGGCCTCATGCATTCAAGGCAAGCACTCTACCACTGAGCCAACTTCCCAGTCCAGAACATTCATTTAACATATACATATACCAATCTTCTGATCATACAACAATCTTTCGGATCACTTATTATCCCTAGAGAGTGAATTTCTTAGATGTATAGTTGGCAAATATTTTCTTCTATTTCATAAGTTGCCTCCAGTCTGCTATTTCCTTTGTTATGCAGAACCTTTCTAGCTTGACGTAATGACATTTGACTATTTTTACCTATGTTACCCTTATGGTTTTCAGATTTTCTTCAAGAAATGCAAACCAGTGTCATTTTCTTCTGGTGGGTTTATAATTTGGGAGTCTTATATTTTTTGAAGTCTTTAACTAATTTTGAATTGATTTTTTTCACTGCCGAGATTGTTAGCCTGCAGATATTTCGTTTTTTTGGGTATACTGATATATGTACTCTTGGCAACTTTGTCAAAACCCAGTTGACTATAAATGCATTAGTTTATCTTTGGGTTCTGTGTTCTTTCTTTCCCATAAGTCTCTGTATTTTTAATGGCAGTATCCTGCAACATTGATTATTATAATACATATGCTTTGAACTGTATCATGAGTTTTAGTGTGATGCTTCCAGCTTTGTTCACTTTCTTTAAGATTGCTTTGGCTAGTTTGAGTCTTCTGTCATTTCAAATGAGTTTTAGGAGGCTACTTTGTCTTTTCATTTTTGTTTGTTTGGATACATATTTCTGCAAAAATTTCATTGTTATTTGACAAGGATTGCATTGAATTAGCAGGTCAGGTTAAGGTAATATGGACCACATGACTTCATTCAGTACTGTTTGGGTAGATGAGACCTATACATTTTAATATATCAGAGATCAGAAGATAAATTTTAATGTTAATAAAGGTCATTTAGTGACATAATGCTAAATGTGTTTCAAGTATAGTGTTACAACTACAGGTGTGTTGCCTTAAAAATCGAGTCTTTTTTAATCTTTTTATAAATGGGAAAAATCCACTGCCACTTGTTAAAAAATAAGCCTTATTAAATCTCTAGATGTCCCAGAAAGTGGACAGAGAATTCTAATTTTGGCCAGCACAATCAATGATACAGAATTACTATTTTTTTAAACCTTGTTGGAAGTATTGAGATATTGCTGCATGAAGTCAAAGTTTCTTGAATTGAAGTTGCCAAATGAGCACGTACTTTTCCGAATCACATACACTGAAAATCAGTCTGTCTGAATTAAATAGATTCAAGTCAATGTAAAACTTACAAGGAAAAGGAGGGACCAGAATTTGCCCAGTCCTCTGGCTTGTGTGTATGAGTGGAATGGGTATGCTATCTCCCCATGTCTCTAATTCTGAGGCTTTCTTGTTCTTCTCTCAGAATGGACTCAATGCTCTCCATCTGGCTGCCAAGGAAGGCCACGTGGGGCTGGTCCAGGAGCTGCTGGGCAGAGGGTCCTCTGTGGATTCTGCTACTAAGGTATGGTGCTGTTCATGCCATGACAAACTCATTTTCTTTAGAGGATAGGAAGTGATTTAAAGTGTCCTTCTCCTGTTGTTTATTTCAGAGGTCTACTAGGACACTGAGCTTGTCAACTATAGAAGATAAATTTTAAATCTTCTCCACTGAACTTTGCAGAGTGTATATGGCTTCTTTTAAGTACTTGGATATGAGAATCAATTTGTAAATTTGTTTTCTAATGTATTGTCTTTCCTCCTTGGATTCACAAAGAAGGCTAGATTAACATTTTCCTTTGTAGATAGTAGTATCTGTTCCCCTAAGGTAATTCACTTAAAGTTAATTAATTAATTAATTAATTTGTTGTCTATCATGGGGCTTGAACTCAGGGCCTAGGCACTATCCCTAAGTTCATTTTTTTTCTCTTTTTTTCCCTCAAGGCGAGTGCTCTACCACTTTGAGCCAAAGAGCCACTTCAGGTTTTCTGGTAGTTAATTAGAGATAAAGTCTAACTCACTTTCCTTCCTGGGCTGGTTTTGAACTGCAATCCTCAGATCTCAGCCTCCTGAGTAGCTTTAGGTTATTGGTGTGAGCCACCAGCGCCCGGCTGGTAAATTTATTTTAAATAAATGATGGGATAAACTTCTCAATGGAATGAACATATAAGTTTCATGCTTTAGTTGAACCCATGTATCTTTCATTGTGCTCATTTGGTTGATATGGGAATATGTAGTACCCTTTATAGTCTAATAGAAAGAGACTTTGGGGTCTTTTATTGAATTATTAGTGTAAGATTAGATTTGATCACTATGATGTTTGTAAAGAAGTATAAAACATATTTGATATAATTAGAAACTATTGATGTCTGGTTGACACTGCTTTTACTAAGATATATTTAAACCTGTATTGATGTTTGAAAAAATATTTTTTGTATAGTGGTTCCACAGTAAGTCAGTTCATAATAGAACTTCGTGAAGTAGAATCTACAGATTTCTGTTCACTTCTCATTTCTTTCTGTTTCGTTTTGCCTTAATTACTTCACAAGTATTTTTAATCTCTTGGTCTGTTTATATTTTCACAAATATTTAAATCATTTTTCATTTGTGATTGTTGTAGTGTAGGATAACTTCTGGTGTAGCAAATGGTGGGAATCATTGGTAGCAGTATGATTGATGCAAAATTTATTCTTTTCATTTTTCAAACTGAGCAGCAACACAGCCTCCTAGCTAGAAACACAACTTCAATAAAAGACAATTTCTCTACCACAAAAATTCCTTAGGGTCCTTTGCAAGGCAAAATGAAATCAGTGTTGCTGTGAACTTTTTTAAAAGTTAATTTTCTTTGCATTAGACCTTCTTGGCTGGTGATTAAAAGAAAATCGCATGAAACACTGCCACATATGCCCACCTTTATGCATACACACATCTATGCACACTCACATGCCCACATTCACCCTCCCATGTACATATTCATATACACGAACATGCATTTATGCACACACTTGCACTCTTTTAATTTAGAGGAACTTAGTCTTTCCGTGTTCTCAACACTAGAGCAGTCTTAGGGAGAGATAGTAGAGAGAGATGCTAAAAAAATCCATTACGAGGTGGGCTAACAATAAAATGACTGCTTTTTATCAGACAAAATACTAGTACACTTTGATCAAATTTGGAATCCTTTAACCGTTTCTATTCCATTTCTCCAAAAACAGAAGGGAAACACTGCTCTTCACATCGCCTCTCTGGCTGGACAGGCGGAGGTTGTCAAAGTCCTTGTTAAAGAAGGAGCCAACATAAATGCACAGTCTCAGGTATTACATTCTGCTTTTTGTTCCTTTTTTGGTGAATAAATTATAAATTAGAACCATTTTGGGGAAGTTGATCTAAAGGGTTTGGATAATGCTGGGAAGATAATTTTATTTTTAAAGATTTCTGTTATTTGTTCTACATGAATTCTCTTTGGAGCTCATGCAATTAAATTTTTTTGACATATTATGATCTCTCCTTTAATATAACAAAGTACTTGAAAAATGAAAGACCATCGCTGCCTATTTACAAGAAGAATATAAAGTGACTTTTTTGGGGGGAAATGGGTGACATCTGTGAAATATAAATTATTCATGTAAGTTCCATGTTGTTCTATAAAAATATTTTTCTCTTCAATTCTAAAGAAAAAAAGACTAAAAAATTGATATTCTAGTGAGGATCTGATACCAAGTGAGAATCACACCCACTAGGTTATATCATAGCCAAATGTAGGCATTATTAGAAATTAGAAAAGAGATAAATTCTCCTCTCATAGCCTTAGATAAGTCTAAGAACAATAGAAAGAAATGTACCATAATAATGCAATTCAGAAAAAAATCAAATTAATCAAAATTATACTGCATCCTTTTTTTTCCTGGTAAAGAAGCAGAGAAAATGTTTTGCCCAAAGCATTGGATATTTTATTTTGTTTTCATTTTATTCTAGTGAGCTTTTTTTTGTCAGTTTCTTTTTTGGTGGAACTAGAATCTGAACTCAGAGTCTTATACTTGACTAGCTTGTTCAGCACTACCACTTGGGCCATGCTTCCAGTTCTGCTGTTTGGTTATTTTGGAGATGGAATCTGCCCAGATCCGCTTCAAATTGTGATCCTCTTAGATTTATGCTTCCTGTATAATGAGGGTTTCAGGTGGGAGCCAAAGCACTTGGCTTGAAACTCTATTCTTGATATCTATGCATATAGAAATTGAGTGGATATCATTGTAATACAATGCATTCCTTCTGTAAATGGAAGGCTCTGGGTTCAATTCTCTTCATTCAAAACAAACAAACCCAACCATGCTAACTCTCAGATATATTGGCAAAGTAGGTTAGCTCATCTCCTCTCCATTCCTAAGGATAACTTTGTTATTGTGCAGATTATCTATCACCTGTGATCTTCATTCATTCATGAGTTAAACACAGCTCTGGTTGTATAGATAAGCACAATTCCAGACCCAGGAAATACTAACTGTAAAATAAGCTCCATATCCTTTGATTATAAAAAATATTTAAATCATTCCATGATTATTGGAATTTTTCTGTAATGTTTTGATTCATTACATTTATTTCCCCTTACAATTTAAGCCATTAATTAAATATACACCCATATTTTAATGAGGATAGAAAAATATGTCTTGGTCTAAAACTTGTACTAAATAAAAGTTTTTAAAGAAAGACACCATCTAGAAGGAACACTTGCATGTTCTATAAGGTATAATAGCATCTTGAGTTGGAGAGAAATATTGCTACAAAAGTGAAGACTGGGAATCAGGAGGTCGCTCAGCGGTAGAACACCTGCCTTGTGTGCTTGAATCCCTGGGTTTGATGTCTGGTATTACAAAAGAAAAGAAAATATAGGCCAGGTAAAGCAAAGTAAAGTCCTCTAATCCCAAGTATTTTTAAGATGGAGATAGTAAAATGATACCAGATCCTATCTAAAACCAAATTAAAGTAGGGGATGTGGCTTATGTAGAAAGTACCTGCCCTAGCATTAGACCTGGGCCTGTCCTGAGCTCTTTTGTTCAAGGCTCTACCAGTTGGAGCCATAGCGCCACTGCTGGTTTTTTTTTGTTTTTTAATTGTGAAAATACTGTACAGAGGGTTTACAATTACATGGGCAAGATAATGAGTACATTTCTTATCAAGCATTGTAGCCTCATCCTTTGTTTCCCCTTCCCATCCCTTCCCATCCTCCACCCCCCCAACCAATCCTCCTCCTCCCCCCCCACCTAAGTTGTAAAGTTCGTTTTCGACATAACGGCTTATACATCTCATGGTTGCAAATAGGTCCACCTGTATCCCTAGTTGAATGATTTGTTTTTGAATGGTTAATTGGAGATAACAGTCTCACCAACTTTCCTGCCAGGGCTGCCTTTGAACTGTGATCCTCAGCTCTCAGCCTCCTGAGTAGCTACGATTACAGGTGTGAGCCATTGGCACCTGACTTCGCTCACTTCCTGTTGGGAACCAAAAAGAAGACATGAAATCTGAATTTACAATAGAAATGTTGACTTTTTATATTCAAATGCTACCTTCTCTGTCTTTCTGAGATCTTAATTCAAGACATTGAATAAGAGAGTAGTTCAGAATTACGGAATATTTGGAAAAGGGCTGCTAACCTGATTTTGTGTGTGTGTGTGTGTATCAGTACTGGTGCTTAAACGCAGGACCTGGGCACATTCATTAGTTGTTTTTTTTTTTTTTTTCCTCAAGGCTACTTCACTATCAGTTGAGTCACACTTCTACTTCTGGCTTTTGGTTGGTTAATTGGAGATAAGAGTCTCATAGATGGGGCTAGGAAGGTGGCTCAGTGGTAGAGCGCTTGCCTTGCATGCATGAGGCCCTGGGTTTGATTCCTCAGCATCACATAGGCAGAAAAAGCCAGAAGTGGTGCTGTAGCTCAAGTGGTAGAGTGCTAGCCTTGAGCTGAAGAGCTGAGGGACAGCACCCAGAGTTCAAGCCCCATGACTGGCAAAAAAAAAAAGAGTCTCATAGACTTTCCTGCCTGGGTTGGCTACAAGCCTCAGTCCTCAGATCTCAGCCTTCTGAATAATTAGGATTATAGGTGAGAGTCATGGATGCTCAGCTGTAATGTGAGTTTTGAAATAAGAAGTTTTAAAAACTCCAAAACATTCCAAGTAATGAATATTCAGTAACATTTTTGGAGTTGATTGCTTATAACAAAGCACTCATTAATGGGTTTTTCTGCACTCTTCGCTTAAATTCCAAGATGCAAATAACACTTACCTCCACATATATCAAACTAAAAAGGATCCAATAGCACTAATTAAAGGATGGGAGATTTTCTTCAGGACCTTCACTGCAGGTATGAGGGTCTTGCCATGAAAGAGAAACACTGGGCTTGACTCCCAAGACAGCAATTGGCAAGTGAGAATTTATAGACACGAAGCAGTATGGGAACTGTGGATGGTAAATTGCCAAAAGGTAACATCAGGAGTAGAGTTGATTCTGGGTAAAATGCCTGCTACAATTCTTGCTGAAGACAGGCTGTGGCAGTTAGACAGATGGGAGATCTTGTAGGCTGGGGATTTTGATTAGATACTGAGAGTGGTCATATCAGGATGATAGGGTGTACTGAGTAAACTGACTGTGCTGGGTTTTTCAGCTAAAAAGAATAATATTAAAGAAATGCACAGATGTGTCTGGGAGGAGATGCAGAAGCTTTGACTAAAGTTGGCCAGGCAAAGGATCTTTGTCATTTACCAAATGACACAGCACCAGTTTGGATAGAGAAGTGCTCCTTCCTTTATGGAGAAGAATTCTAGATTGTCATGAGGATAGATTCATCAAGTTTCAATGACAGTATATGATTGTTAGAATCATGATGAGCAGGTGTGTGTGTTTCTGTGTCATTTCTGTGTTCAGTAGTATTAGCAGTGTGCTTTCTATGTGGCCATTCCTCAAGGTGATTCTAAGAATTGCCCTGACCCTGAAGATCTCTGGCTTGTTTTTTGGTGTCTTGGCTTCTTTGGCATGAGTGGGGGTGAGGGTAGGTGTGGGGAGCTCAAGACTTCAGCAAATGAGGCTGGAAGTCAAATTAAAGCTAGTCAAGGATTGTAATTTACTTTGAAAATTTACTTCGAACACAGGTACTTTTACAGAGCCGTTCCCAGGCATTTTAGCATTCTTTGAACAGTCCAATGTAAGCAATGCTGCGATGCCTTCCATTTGTGAGTACGGGCATCTGGACACATTGCAAATCTAGAAGACTCATAACTGTGATCTAAAAAGAAAACCTGATTCCAATTCTGTGTTGATCTCAAAGATGTTGTACTTTTGCATACTGTCAGAGTTATGAGTTTCTGTGAATATCAGAGGTAATTTTTCTTCACATTGGCCTGTTGATATTTTCTTCTCTTGGGCTTATCTTTAATGTATCTCAAGATGATAAAATTCTTGGGGACAAAATTTTATTTTATTGTTATTTATTTATACTTTTTGGTGACAGTATTGGGGCTTGAATATGGGGCCTTGTGCTCACATTTGACCTTTTTGCTCATGGCTGGCATAAGAGTCTCAAAGATTTGTCTTCCTGGAATGTCTCAGAATCTTGATTCTCAGATCTCAGCCTCCTGAGCAACTGAAATCTGAAGGCTTAAAAAAATTCAAATCCTGTTTGAAATACAAATCGAAAACTTTTTGAAAATAATATTTCCAGAAATTTAAGGAAAGTCCATGAGATATTTATCTCCAACTAACCATGAGCCATGAGCACCCAGATACAGATACTTTTTTTTCTCACACATGCAGATTTAGGATTTTATATAATAATAGAATGCTAAACATGTATGTATATGCATGGTCCTCATTAGTAAGAGTTAGTTTTGTTGTGTATTAAAATTATTCTTCACAATACATATTAATGTAATAATAAATATAAGTAACTGGCACACAGAATTTCTGACAGTTCTCTCTCTCTCTCTTTCTCTCTCTCTCTCTTTCTCTCTCTCTCTCTCTTTCTCATGCCCATCTTGGGCTTGCAGCATTGTTTACCATAGCCAAGATATGGAATCAACCCAGATGCCCCTCAGTGGAAAAAATGTTATTTCCACAGACTTTGTTTTATTTGCAATTCAAACAGGATTAGATTTTTTTTCGTAGCCTCCAGATTTTTCTACAGACCACAACTATGAAGGCCAGTGGCAACATTATATCACCATTGGTTACACCCCCAGCATGTTGGGGCCCAGGAACTCACTATATGCAATGACAAATGCCTTTCTTTTCAAATGTCACTTCTGGTAGTGTTCTCTTCATTTGGCCC